CAATCCGTCATATCCTTAACTGCTGCCATTTTGGCATATAAATACTCTTGAATTTCTCGTCCACACCTTCTCTAGCTACCAACATAATGATTAAGAGCTCAAATCCTGCTCACCTACTAGAGAAATGATCCTGGGCAAGTTTTACTCAGCTGTGCCTCAGTTTCTTTGGGGAAGATAAGGGCTCCCACCTCATTGTGAGGATAACAGAATGCATGTAGAGTGCCTAGCACATGGCATGTAATAAATGTTAGCTGCTGCCATCATTTCGTATTAACACTTACATAATTGCTCTTGTCACCCTCAATACCTTCTCTTTTTTATTTTTTTTTTGAGATGGAGCCTCAAGCTATCGCCCTGGGTAGAGTGCCATGGCATCACAGCTCACAGCAACCTCCAACTCCTGGGTTCAAGCGAGTCTCCTGCCTCTGCCTCCCAAGTAGCTGGGACTACAGGCGCCCGCCACAACGCCTGGCCATTTTTTGGTTGCAGCCATCATTGTTGTTTGGCGGGCCCAGGCTGGATTTGAACCCGCCACCTTAGGTGTATGTGGCTGGCGCCCTAGCCACTTGAGCCACAGGCGCCGAGCCAATACCTTATTCTCTTGTCACCCTCAATCCCTTATTCTTTTATAACCAGGGTCTTGGGAAGTAAAGTCAAGAATAGACCACCTTTAGTTCCTTACCTCCCATTTTCTTCTTAGTCCACAGTAATCTCTTACCCTCTCACTGAAATTACAAGTCACAAGTGACTGTCTGGTTGCCAAGTTCAGAAAACAGACCCTTCACCTGACTGGGAACCCACTTGTCATCTGTTAACAACGCCCTATTTCTTGCATCCTGCTAATATAAATTCTTTGGAATTACCTAGTAATGAAGATTTCTACTGAAGTGAAGAGTTTAGAGTAAGGCCAAAAACATATTCATATATTTACAGTATTATTTGAAAAACACAAACTGGGCTAGGTGCGGTGGCTCGCACCTGTAATCTTAGCACTCTGGGAGACTGAGGCCAGTGAATTGCTTGAGCTCAGGAGTCTGAGACCAGTTTGAGCAAGAGTCAGACCCCATCAATACTAAAAATAAGAAAAACTAGCCAGGCATTGTGGTGGGCACCTGTGGTCCCAGGTGCTCGGGTGGCTGAGCCCAAGAGTTTGAGGTTGCTGTGAGCTATGGCACCAAGGCAACAGAGTAAGACTCTGTCTCACAAAAGAAAAAGCACAAACTGTAATTATAAATTGAAAATTACATGTTACAGAAAACGAGAACCTCTGTAATATGGTTAAATTCTTGAGCTCCAGAATTTTACTGTCTGGATTCATATCCTGAATCCTAGCTCTGACCTTGGTCAAATGACATATGTAACTTCTCTGAATTTCTTTTTCTCCTTGTAAAATAGAAGTAACAGTATTTGTCTCATGGAACTGTGAGGACCAAATAAGAGATTTCACATAAAATACAGAGTACAGACCTGCCATAAAATAAGTGCTCAGGAAATGCTGGACATCACAAGATTTTTTTCAAAATGTATTCAAACTTAATTTCTCCTTTCTGGGATGCCTGTGTGTCTTTATAAACATAAAATGTTTATAATATAAATATTACTCTCCTAGAATATGTTGAAGCTCTCAGGGTTACAATGTGCCTATGTGAGGGTGAGATCTCACTCTTGACCCTAGTGTTTGATAGTTGAATTTCATGGGATTTGGTTCTCTGTTCTGGCTATAGCTTTTTGCTATTGATCCTCATCTAAGGAGCTTTCCTCTGCAAGGAGCTAAATAAATAACTTTATACAAACGTATAGTGAAACACGATATAATTGAGGACTGGGGGTTTGCTCCAACAACTGTGTGGACCTTTTTATGGGAGGAGAGAAGGGACATAAAAGCTACTTGAATATTGGATCTATAATGACCTTACAGTCTTCCAGAGATTTTGTCCTTTTCAAAGAATTTGTGCATATCTTACCTCAAGTGAGATAAATTCGGAATGAATAGAGCTAATCCTTTAAAATTTTTTTATTACTGTTAAAAATGAAAAAGGAAGTAAAATACTTTGGCATAAAGGCCCAGATTGTAGAGCTAATTATAATTAGCAGCAGAGTCTAGGCTACAACCCATGTGTCCCTCCTTCAACTCTTGAACTACAGCTAAAATAAATGAATATCGTACATGTAGGAGATGGTTTCCTTTTAGATGGGACACCCCCATTTCTCTTTTGAGGGACTTCTTTGTTGGTTTGATCCTCCTCTTTGACCTGTCTCATCTCATAAACCTCCTGCCGCCTGAAATAGCATTTGTGTGTTCTCATTGCTGTGGCCCAGAGGTGTATTCAGAAACCAGACATTTTGTCCTTCTTGGCCTGGCTGTTGTTAGTGCAGTATTTCTCGGGTTCCTGGATACCCCACTGGAAGAGAAGGTACTCTGAATGTGCATAGGCATGTCCTGCTGGACCCAGTTATTAGGTAAACAGCTTGGACTCTGCCCTTGTCCAAGCTCAAATTCCGTTCTGCCTTATGAGTTTAATCATTCAGCTGCCCCGTGGGGCACAGTGGAACATACAAAATATGGAGGGCATAAAAAGGCAAGAAGGAGTCTCACCATTGAGCAATGAATATAAGAACTTGATGAATGTTAACAATTTATTACAGTGTGGCAAAGAATTATAAAGACCTCCCAAAGTGTAAGTTCATTGTTCTTACAGATTGCATTTTGAGAACTGATGATATTCCTTATACATTTCAGATAATAAAAACTGAAGTCCTAAGGAGTTTTTAATTTAGGCAGGCAGTAGTAGCATTTAGGGAAAAGATCTCGGGCCCTTCTTTGCACAAGTGTGACAAAAGTAAAGCTGTGTTTACGACTTCAGCATTCAGACACTTCTCAGAGTCAAGACCCACAGGAAGAGGCTTATTCTCTATTGTGCTTTCTCGAGGACACACTGTGTAAAACACTGAGGAAAGCGTCTAAAGTCAGGAAGAATGAGTGCTTGCACCTTTAAAATGACAAATGTGATTGTTACTCTCCTGCTTAAAAATCTGTTGTATTCTCTCTCCAGGATAGTAGGGGTGGAGCCTAAGTAGGCCACACGGAGGGTCCTTGAATAGATGGCATTTGTTGGGCTTTTCTGCATTGTCTCAGTGGTCTTCTTTTTGCTGCCTACCAGAATGCCTCATCCTTACAAGCACAGATTAAAAGTCATTTGCCAGCCTTCACCCAAAGTTTCTCTCTCCTCTGCTCCCTACCTCTGTAATTGCCATTATCTACACATTTTTAATGAATCCATGTGTCTACCTTTAGTCAGAGGTGGGAATTAAACCTTTGATCTTAGTGTTCCTGACACCTAGCAGGCAGCCAGTCAAGTTTGCTGTCTGATTTACTTCATGGGAGATTACTGAGAGTATTATTATCCCATGTTGTCCTGTCTTGCCTCATACAAAAAATCTGCTATTCCTGATTATTTTCATTTAACAAGTGATTTGTTTTTTTCTGTCCAGGCAGCATAATTCGTTGTATGAGGCGCTTAGAAGAACTGCTTCGACAAATGTGTCAAGCAGCAAAAGCCATTGGAAACACTGAGCTGGAAAATAAATTTGCAGAAGGTCAGTATCTATTTCATAAGGTTTTTCTAATAATTTAGGCAAATCTTGTGAGACTTGAGCCCTTGACTACAACCTAGGAGGACTTTTTGAAATGCTGGGTTCTCACTGAGAGCCTTCTACTAGTGTTTCTATGGAATTTTAGTGTTTGTGAAGGGGGGAGTACTTTATATATGTCTCATTTACATGTATTTGTGTGCACTTAACTATGTGACAGGCATTGTTTTAAGCGTTAGAGGACATAGTGAACAAAAAGAAATCCCTACCTTCGTGGAGCTTACATTCTAATGTAGGGAGATAGTAAACAAGTCAATAATTAAATTTATCAAATGGTAGACAGTAGCGAACTGGGGGATAGATAAGATGGTCTGGATGAAGGTGGCAGTTGGGGCCTCCATATATTCTTGATATGCTTGAGTGACTGGCAAGAGGCCAGCATGGCTGAAGCAGAGTGAGTAGAGCAGTGTGGGTGAGAGGAAGAAAGGAAATGGCCATGTAAAAGCCTCTTGGGCCCAGGCTTTGTACTGTGTAGCAATTACAGGGTTGGAACACAACACTTTTGTGCTCTAACTTGGACTTTACAATGTTAATTCTTGCTGTTGCATTGAGAGCAAGCCTGTATAGTAGCAAGGTGGAAGCAGGAGACCAGATCATGAGGCAGTGAGGGCAGGGGACATAAGCATGCTTGTGAATAGCTTTGTCATTTACAACTAATCTTCACCAAGAAAAAGGATGATGAGTTAAAGTATCAAAGAGTGGCAACCACATTGTTGCTCCAAGCCAGTTGATGATAGTGATTTCTACAAACAACTTAGTGTTCTCAGAAGTTTGCAAAAACTGACTTAGGTTTTTGCATTAGGTTTCCATAATGTTGATAGAGGCCGGCTTAATCACTTGGGGTTTAAGTGTAGATATAAGTCATAAATAAAACCTTTACTGCCTCAGTCCAGAAACGGTTTCATATGGTAACTGGAAATACGTTGATGTAGGTTGAAAATCCAAGCTTTTGGATAAACTTCTGACAGTTTAATCCTTCCCAGAATTCGTTTTTCTGAATAGTTTTAGACATCACCATCCCTATCCCCAGGGGTACTTTCTAAGTGTTCCACCTCTTGGAGGTGGCTATTTTCCATCCTGCTCTCTCAGTCCATTTAATCAGGATTGTTGTGATGTCTTTACAACCCCAAGAGGGAGAAATGAGTGTTTGGTGGTCTTAAAAGGATAAAACTTTATCTTCTTTTCTCTTAGGAATCACCAAAATCAAGAGAGATATTGTGTTTGCTGCCAGCCTCTACTTATGAAGTGTCAGCTAAAGGAATGTGGTATCTTACATTATTCACCACCTGTGTAATTACAGTTGACTACAAATGGCTCATGTGTTGATTTGCTTCTCCCGTCTCAAGACAGTTATCCTCCAACATTTCAATCTGTATTGTATTTCAATTAAACATTCTATGAAAGCATATTACATACACATCTATACATAAGCATTACATTTTTTTAATTAAAAAATGTACAGGAGGGGCATTGTTTTGGTGGAAGGCTTGAAACTGTTTAATGAACTTAAAGCTATTAGATAACCATTACGTTAAATGTAACTATATACACACAGATAAAGTGGGCATCCAAGAGGCATAGCAGCAGCAGTCCTTTAAGGCCTGTACACTGGGAAGAAAGGCATCCTCTTGCCTTCTGGTAGCAAGAAAGCAGGCCAGCTTCACCTGGGCACCATGCAGCCCTTCAAGGCTGGTGATTGTTCCGATAGTGATTCTCAGCTGTTGGTGTTTCATGCAGAGTTGTATGGGAGTCCTCCTCTTTCCTTTCTTTAAAAGGAGAACGTCTCTCTTTGAAGAAATCTGATACATATACAGCCTATAAAGAGCAGATTATATTTAGGGTAAGATATTTTAATGGTATAACTTACACAAGTTTAAAAACCATATACAAAGTTGCAGTAATTAGCCTCCTGCATAAAATAAGTATAAATAAAAGTGTGTAATTAGAGGGGTACAAATTAAGGATATAGAAAACTAATGGCTAATAGGAATACTTTTTGGAGATTATTCCAAATTGAGAGTTGCTTTGTTATGTCTTTAGCAGTTTCATTTTGCTGACACTTAGACCTAGTAACTTCATATAGATTAGTGTTTTCAATTCATACCAAAAAGGAAACTTTATAGCAAGAACCTTTTACAGTAAAAATAGTAAGATTTTTATAATTTTTACGAAGTGTAACCTAGTTTTTGCCTGCTGGCTACCCAAATATGACTTAATAATGTGTTAGTTTTATGCACTAGGAATTTTTTCACTGGGGATTTTTTCTAATTATTTATCCAAAAGTTTAATATCAACAAACAGGCTCCTGCCCTATATACTTACAACTAATATTGCAACCAGTGCTCCTTGAATGAGTCCAGTCAACACATCGCTCCAGTGGTGTTTGTAATCAGAAACTCGAGAAAGGCCCACATAAATGGATGCAGCAACAAGACCAAATTGCAGTGTGGGGCGTAAGAGTCTTGCCCAGTCTCCTTTCATCCTGGCTTGAAGATAAAGCTGAAAGAAAAGATAAAAATAAAATAGTTTCCCCTGAAGAGTTGGCATTTAAAATGATTATTAATTATTACATATGGAATAAGACTTATTTAGGTAAGCATTCACATATGTATTAATGCCTAAAAGTTAATCCTTTTAAACAAAAGGAGAAAAAAACAATGCCCTGGTAACTTTTGTTTGTAAGTATTTATTGCCTATCTGCCTATACCTTTCAAAAAGTAAACAAGGCAAAGGTCCCTGTTTATGACTTTCTAGACAGGATTTCACAGGCATCTCCTCCCCTCACAATTTGGGTTATAATTCTGATGGTCAGCGGCCAGTGTTGCCTTTAGTTCTGAGTCTTGGGATAAACTACTAGTATTCTGGGAACAGGTTGCCCTTGCTCTACCTAGGGACTATTCACCAATTTACTTAAGAGCTCTGCTAGCCTCAAACTGTTTAACAGGGCAATTGAGACTAAATCATCTGCTTTCATAAGTATATATAATCTTCCCAAATAATTAAACAGGTTGTAGTTTAGTCATGATCAAGTAAAGGAATGTATT